GGCCTGAAGTGAATGACCGAAAACAGCTGTTTGCCAACACGACTTTTCAAACAGCTGAAAGTGCATTTGAGAAGCCGAGTAACGCAATGGAGATGAAAATATCTTCCTAAAAGGCCAGTGTACTTAGTTCTCTTGGCACAGTAAACGTCACATACGTCAAAATGAGGTAGGGCTGTTATTGAAAAGCGTACCGGCTCAAGGGGCCGATAAACGGTAAATAATAACTTGGAAGAAATGTGGTACTTACCATGAAGGAATTCTATAAACCGCTCAAGGTCGTTAATTTGGGTTTTCAATTGGTCCACCAAGGCCTGTTTGGTTTCGATCGGACGTGTCAACTGAAATTGTAAAAAAAAGTGACACTTACACACAGGCAGACAGACGGAAGGTCGCAATATCTCTTCAACATAAGTGAGGTTGAATGCCGTCGTCTAATGGATTAATCTACAGGGACCTCAGTATCGTATAGGAACCCCGACGAGAGCAGTCGACATCAAAAGTTGGCGCTCTCTGGCATTACTGCTGAACAGGTTTTTAACATGATTACATTTGAGAAAATAAGTCACTTTTGGTCGAACCGGTGAATCATTAGTTGGCAAACTTGATAAGATGAAACTATTGTATGTCTTGGAGGCTGACTGTGGCTCATATAGTCTTTGGCTATAACAATGCAACAACCGTGGAAATTAGTGCCAGCAGATGTCATTGGAGAGCCAGAAACTACGTGGGCTGACTCACACGACTGCATTGTGCCAATTTAAGAAAACAACACCTACCTGCGTGATTGCTGCGTCTATGTGGCCCCGGATTTCCTCTTCAGACATCGATTGCAATTCGTGGACGTTCAAGTTCAGGCGTTGTTCCAGCTCATCCAGGAGGATTTTCTGTTTCTCCAGCATATTGAGCGTTGGAGGGTGACTAATCTCTCCACTCTGTGAGGAGAAAAAAGTTCTGTCATTAACATATTCCAACCCAAAGAAGTGCAAAAGATGCAATCACGTAATATCAACGAAATACCACCGGTATGACCAGAAATAATTCCAATCGCTAAAGTTCGAATACAGGTTACAAGTCTGTCGGTGGTCAAGCGTCGTGTCCTATCAAACATAACCACCCAATATTGCAAACATCGGGCGTAGGAGACTATAAGGGATGGGCGAAATTCGTATTCAGGCTTCCTGTTACTAGCTTTAATAAAATTTCGTTCAGAAATAGGCGTACATCGAAGTTTGACTTCCGACGGCAAAATCAATCTCCGAATAGGATGATAGGGGGTGACGAGAAGGTAACTATATACTCGACCGCAAAGTGACCAGGCAAACAAAATCAGAAGTAGACCAACCGGAAGCGGGAAGAGCGAGGCAGCAACGGTTTATGGAGAATCGGAGAAATTTGATCGAATACATAACAGCCAGGGACTGATGAGAAACAGTCAAAAAGTCCTATGGACCAGAAGTCAAGTGCTCGACTGTTTCTCGGCCTAAAAAGTCACTCACCCTCTGGCCCGATAAAGCGCTCCAGGTCTGTGGGGACCCTAACAGTTATTCGCTCAGTCATCAGTCACATATAGACGAATAAAAGCAAACGAACTGAAACGAGGAAACTGTGATGACGGAGCAAGGGGCGGCCACAAACTAAGTGCAGGCCGCGCTGTGCACAGACACACTTGGCTAACCTCGAAGGCACACTCATGCACTTCTCACTTTCGACAAATGAAGAAAGTCCTTCAGAAAGAAAAGACCCGGAAGTTGGTCTGAGAAAAATTGTAAGACTGTGTCTTTGTAGAAAGGTTTCTCTTATCGCATCCGAAAGTCTTCTTGCTTCCCTTGACGGGGATTTTCTGTCACACGTTTTTCGAGAAACCCTTATCCCTCGTGACGGGCATTCTCATTATTTTTTAAGGATTTCTACCTTTTCTGCAAGCTGTGTAAATCGTTTTTTGTGGGCTCTGTCCAAGGAATTGCAAATAGCACACGATCAACGGCTAATTTAGAGTGCGCCGAACTCAAACAACTTGCGTGTGCGCTAGACTGCTCATTCATTACCAACTGATACAAGTAATAAATTTTTCATTGGTAGATTTACAAGAAATTAACGTGGGCATAGGAAGTCTACAAACTTTTGGTTAAAGCAAAACTTTAAAGGAGCAACGTCCCTTTCTTATACTCTTTTTCCAAGGGCTTGAACCAAAGGATCATTTATCAGAAGGATATGAAAACTAACCTTGTAAGCAAATTGTTCGAGATCGTCTAGCTGTGTTTTCAATTGGTCAATAATCAATGGCACATAGCACTTCTGCTCCTTCTCTGGGCCATTTCCATTAGGCACATCTGACTGCTTGAATGCATATAAAGACAAGCATTGAGCTGTGGAATTTTAAAATTGTCTTTAATTTAAGATTCAATGTAGATCGCACTGTATAAAGAGGAAGCTTAGAGTAAATCAAGTTCTGTTGGAGAGGGCAACCTGCGGACATGAACGCGAGTTAGTATGCAATCAAAAACACCCAATATAGGCGTAGGTATAAGTGGCACAGTAAAACCTCGCAAAACAGCTCTCAATTTGCGGCGTTTCAAAAAGGAATTGAGAGTAGGATGCTTTTGCTGTTAGTTCGTTAACGACGTTGTGATGCACGTCAGTCCCAGTTGTGTGACATCGTTAGTGCGCAGGTCTCCTCTGCAACCAATGAAGCATGTGTGTGCTGTCTTGGAAAAAGGTAAGGACGCTAAATGCCACTTCTAGGCCAAATCTGCAAGATAACAGATACACGGTTAGGATGTTCGATTTCAGTTTGCCCCGACACAGCTAACCGTGACCAAGGACATCTAGAGCCTGGTGATATCACATACGTCGGAAGCGAGCAGTTGGGCCGAAAAACTTCAAAATTAGTTACCATTAAGTTTGATCCCATCAACGTGTCCAACATGAACAATATGTTGACTTTCGACAATTTGACTCTTGGTTCAACCTTTCAGCGTTGGTTTCATTGCTTTAAATAGGATGATAAATTTTAGTTAGATATAATAATTCAGCGCTTTGACCCGAAAATTCTGAACAAACATTCAACTTCAAGAGAATGCTCACACCAAACCTCGTCGCAGATGGGCAGAACGTAAAGGTATGGAAAAACTTGAAATGGCTATGCCTGCAAAATACTATAAGACCACCGTTTCCTGATATAAATGATACTATAAGCTGCAGCTTCCATTCGTGCAAGAAAGGAACAGAAAGAAGTACTCCCGTTCACTCCTTAAGTCATTATTTATGGACGACATATAAAACGTTCTAAATGCCCTTACTGCGAGAAGTCCATACTCCGACCACAAGAATCAGAAAGACATAGTTGCACTGCGCACCTGAACGGACATTCAGACTGTCAAGCCAGCGTTAACACGCTTATGGGTTAAGTCGATTCCCCTAATCCAGTGAATCGCAAACAGCGTTCGTTAACGATTTTCTAAATGTTATAAAAGAACAAAGGAAAAAATGCCAATTATCTCGCCTGCAGTACATAGACGCTGCCTTTGGATAGCTTTTTACTTTATTCTTTCCGTCCTTACCCGCAAAACAACGTCAGATGCAAGTCCCCTGAAATGCAACTATCTTCCAGTTGTACCAGCAAATGCAAATCGTAGCATTAGATGTCTGCAATACATAGTATAGTACAGTCTCTTTGAGGTAAACGCAACTTTCAGGTAAATACAGTGCACAAACTCGCGACCAAGTTAGTGTTGGTATCACGCCCGCCTGGACAATAAAATTCTTCGGCTGCATGGGGAAGGGGGGTAGTAAATAATGCTACTACAGCGTGATTCCTATCTTAATATGCACTGGTCAAAAATCTGAATCAGATTTTTTAAATTTCATCCATAGAGCGAAGATTAAACCTGAATTAAATAACGACAATTATTTAACAAATAACTCAAATATTGTGTGGGACTGCTATGAAGCGGACATCACCTTTTCGAAACATACAAGCAGTGTACATCAAAGTAGCTTGAAGTAAATGGGAATCCGGGAATTTTTCTTCAAAATGTGAATCTTGCTTTCTAACCAGGTCCTTTCAACTATTTAGATGTGCATAGCTGCATTCGGATCAACGTGAGTTTCCTGGTAATCGGCAGTTTAGGGATCATACTAGGTCTGAGTAAGTCGCCAATAAGCTGGCCATTTGCAAGGATATGTTGTTGAACCTGCTTCTACTTCGCGTTAAATGATAGGGAAAAAACGTCGCTGCATCTCGCTTGCATATTTAGAAGTACCTAACATCAGCATCTGAACACAACCCAAAGGCTCATGGAACATCAATGCCTGAACTGTACTGTACTGGATCGCCAACGTTTTCTTCAGCGGATACATACCCACTTAAAGGACGGTCACGATTGTACGACGCCCTACAAACCTGGTCTCGTCTATTTTAATAGGATTTTCTGCTGCCCCATTCAGATTTCCTTTCCTAGCGAGAGATACTATTTCGGGCCAGACGTCCTGGCAGTAATTCAATCCCTCTACCACAGTATTTAGGGATCTACCA